TACTCAAATTTATAAAAAAGTATGTTATAAATGAAGGCTCGACCAGCCATATAACAAATATTTTGAAACCACGATTCACCACCGCAAGGGGGACCCTCCGGTTTATAACATAAACTCAATTATGCGATTCTGAACTCCAGAATAAAAGAGTTTCCTTTCCTAGAAAGGATCAAAAAAATTATTGTTAAAAAAAGGAACAGAGAGATTCCACAAATCCAACCGAAAGTAATAAAAAAATAAAAAAATTTTAAAAATAGGAAATATATTTAAAAAAAAGGAACAGGAAGTTTTCACAAATCGAGCAGGAAGGTAATAACGGCAAAAAAGATAAAATATGTATATATTATATATAATATATAAGAAAAGAAAATAAAAAAATGTATATCCAAAACTTTGACAAATTTGACAAACGCCTTACCAACCGACTCAGACAAATATAGGTCAGATAAATCTTATTAAAATTTTAAAAGGTTGTAGTAGAAACAAAACAAGATAAGGATCATATAGGGAAAAGTAAAAACCCCCAATTGAAGATTATCAAAAAAGAAATAAAATTAAAAAGAAAAATCTTAAATGGTTATAGTAGAAAAACAAAATGAGATAAGGATCATATAGGAAAAAATAAAAAGCATTCTTTCCTAGAAGAAAATATTTTTTTTAATGGGAAATAATTCAAGTACACTAAAATACGAAAGGCTATACTATTGTAATCATTGCAAGGGCAACCATAGAACTGAAACTTGCCTATATTTAAAGCACACAAAAACTAAAATAATAAAAAACGGCTCTAAATAGGGAGAACAAGAATCTTGTTGCTAGACTAATAACTGCAACAAATGCTTCTCTTAGATTGGAGGTAGAGGAGTTGCGAAGGTAACTGCAGGACGTAACACAGTCAACTACAGTCGTTGATTATAAAATAGAAGTGATCGATCCACATATCAATTGTGATGAGTCACTTGAGGTGGTCAAGTCACTACCAGAATTTAATGGAAAACAAACTAAACACGTTAGCTGGAGGGAAACAGCCAATAACGCAATGAGCTTATATGTAAGAGGCAGCCGTAGATATTTTGCTGCATTAACTATACTAAGAAGCAAAATTACAAACGACGCTAACGACATTTTATCCAATCACGGGACGGTTCTTAATTTCGATGCCATTTTGGCACGACTCGATTTTGTTTACGCGGATAAGCGACCAGCTCATATTATCGAACAGGAGATGAGCATTTTGCGACAAGGCACTTATTCAATTATAGAATACTATAATAAACGGATAGGAGAGTGCCGTAACTTAAGAATTAAACGCAAAAAATAGGCGGGGTGCGTTGCGTATATTTATAACAGGTTTAAATGGAAATTTAGCCAATATATTATTTTCACTATCACCAAGTGATTTGCCAAATGCGTTGGCAAAAGCACAAGAATTAGAAACGAATAATATGCGAGCAATTTTCGCATCACAATTCGGGAAAAATCCGAGTTATTACAGACAACGTAGTAAAATCAATAACGGAAATTTCAATAATAATAATGTATCTTTGCACTTAGCAATAATACAGTTTCATGCTTATTAAGAAACTTTGCTTATTTAAGCAATCAACATTATTTTCATTAAAGCTAAGGCCACAGCTTCTTAATAAGCATCTTGGCTTATTTAAGCAACCAATATTCTTTTCATTAAGCTAAGACCATCCATACAATGACATACTGACACTTATTGTAAGAATTAAACAAGAAAATTGTATAAATAAGAGTAAATTGAAATAAAGAGATTCAGTTATCCATCAGGATCACTCAAACCATCACATTTGATTTCTTCCGCGCGTTTGCGGAACTATATATTTTTTTAATACTTCCATAAAGAAGGAAGTTAATTTACAAGTGTCTTTTCACGGCAATGGCAAAAGCTAGAAATCATGAATGGAACAACTTTTTGATGTTCCCTCTAGAAGGGAAAAGTGACAACCCCGCAAACCCACAGAAAAAGTTGGCAACAAAGTGTTTGTCGATTTAAAATATTTTACAATTCTAAAATATTTTTTCGTGGCTCGCAAAAATCGGCGAGCGTTCGTTTTTTTTCGGCACATTTCGGATTTTCTACCAACAACACAATGTTGTGACGCTTTGTCGTCGCGTCAATCTTTCGACACATTGACTTTTTGACATGAAAGCAAAAAACGTGAGCTTCGGCCATTGGTTGACCGTGTCAACTGAGATTTCACATGAAGTAATGAGTGTACATATCAACATATATATCTTGTTTGTAGACAAATTTACAAATATTTTTCTTTCATATTTCTTTACATGTACTCATGATATGAAAATGCCGACGGCAAAACGCCATTCTGTACTTTTGTGACTCCATAATGGTGTAAAGTATATGAATTATTTTAAGAAATATATCAAAATACTTTTAAATTATTACTAATAACTCATAAGTATTAACATAAATTAATTTAAAAAATAATAAATAATAGTTCAATAAAAGAGAATATATATATTAAATGGCATATCAATATTCCCTCTTTGGCATACTTATCATATTTTCTTCAACATTCGCCGGTTGGGCATGTTAAGAGAGTTGTATGTGTTCGCCGCTCTCATAAAAGTGAGAAATGGTATTTGTTTCTCCTGCGTGTGAGGTGAATTCTTTCACTGAAATTTTACAAATGTTCGCTGTCGAACCTGCACCTTCTCGATCTTCTAAGTTCTCTGCTTCAACTATCCATCCTGCATCAACATCCATGCTGTCATTTAAATAACAAATTTACTCGAAACACATCCTCAAAGAAAGTGAAAACACCACGACATGGCGTTTTAATATAATATAAACTGACAGTAATATTGATCGAAAAATGTTGTAATGATTTGTACCATTTTCGTATATCGAGCATACCACACATTTCTCACAATAATATAAATAGTCAATATTAGTGTCAGGTTATATTAGGAATTATTTTTCACTTTTTAGTTTGAAGTGTTTTAAAAAAGGTTTTTTTTTAGTTTTTTAAATTATAATTTTACTAGTAGCCTTTCCCCAACGACAAACACGCTATTTTGTCAAAAATAGTTGTTCCTCTTCAACTGTGATTTTAGCTTCTGATACTGTATTGATTATTTCGGTATGAATTATATACCTGAAAAAATTGGAGAATGGGCGTATCACGGTCAGATTTAAGGTAGTTATATTGACATATATCAGCCACTATTACACAAATTTTAAGGAAACTTGATGGATAGTATGTTAAAGTTAGTTGGAATGATCCAATTTAGGGCAAATATGCACACATTTTTCAAATAACCTGTTATCGTTATGAAGATCATTTCATAGTGCCTCTCTTATGTTACATTGTCAAAATGGGCGTGATCAGACAACATGCCTACTTCTTATATATTAAAATATTAAATTCCATATGAATGTTTCACATTACTGAATAAAAAGAATCCCATTGAAGTTATTGTGTTCACCCTCACGTTCCAAAATAGTATAATTTGGACCATCACTTGTCAAGTCCCCAGATACCGAATACGTGTACCTGAGTGCCCATAGCTAAAAATATCGGTAAAATTATGAGGTATATAATTAATGTTCAGAACGAATCTTATTCTGATGATAGTGTGTCTTGTGTCAAAAATGCCAATACCAAATATAAACATTTTCGAACTTCCGTTTGATTTTATATCGTATATACTGGCCGATATGAGACAGCCTTAAAGTAATTAAAACGGCGTCGATCTCTAACAATATTCATTGTGCTAAAAATGGATAAAAGCGGGCCAATAATAATTCTTAGTCCCCTTATACCTAATATACGAATTTCATGTGTAACCATATATCGGTCAATAAATAAGGCGTCTTACCGAAAAATTGTATATATCACATCTTAGTTCAGAAAATGTGCGAAACTGGTTCCCGAATTACCCTAGTATATATGATATATATATATATCCAACAGCAGTGAAGACAATCTAAGTTAGTAAATAGATTAAAATCAATGTAACCACTTAAAATGTTTGGTCGGAACATGGTATTAGCCCTTTTGGTTGAGTAAATATCACATATACATATCTCATTTGAGTTACTTACATTTTGGACACGAAGCAAAATGTAGTAATGAAACAAAGGCTATGACCTATAATAAAATATAAGTTAATGAGATACCAAATGCATACACTTATGTATATGTAATATATTTAAAGTTTCGACGAATAATGAATCTTGAATTCCTACGCAACATTTTTGAATATAAAGTTTTGCCAACACCTGAAAGTATTTCTCAGGTTTAATTTTAGAAAATTGCGAGAGTATAAAATGTTCGGTTACACCCGAACTTAGCTTATCTTTACTTGTTATAATTTTAATTCTATATAGTCATCAATATCAATATCATCATAAATGTTGATTAATAAATAAATATGCCCAGAAAAAAGTATTTGTCCACCAAAAAAAGACGGGCATTACAATTGTGCATGCGTCAAACGATAGGTTAGCTCTAGTATGTTCAATTTGATAATCTTTTAAGCTTGACAAACCGAAGTTAGCTATCGTCAATACTTCAATATGTTATGTATGTTACAAAGATTCTTTTGTTTACAATATATTAGGTTTACTTGAATTCTGAGTTTCATCACGATTTCTGAATTTAAGAAGCGGAGGGAATTCATCTCGTCACCCTGATCAATATATAACCATAAAACTAAGTGAGAGTGTGTCTTATAGAATTTGGTGTCGAAAGTGAGCGAGCTCGGTTTACAATTCCGTCTTATAACGACATCAATATATATCACACGTCCTTAATCCTTTGGAGACGATAGGTCTTGTGATAAATCTTTGCACACATCAAAATATATGTAGTCCACACTCCTTATAGGTGTATTATTTATTAAATGTTTGGATCCAGTCCAGTTTTTTGGCCTTCCCTTGCTTAGTAACGGAGATATGTGGCCGAGAAATATGAATATATAGCTATTTAACTATTACGAATTTGTATTACATGCACACAACAAATACAATATGTTCCATGATTTTCTTTCCAAAGTGAAGACAACCTTAAAGTTCGTTGCATCCATACTTATGTATGTATGTATGCCGAATGAGCTCACTGGTTTAAATACCTTGTGGCTGACTTGAAGAATCAGTGTTCGAGAGGATGTCGAACGAAGTGCATTGAAATTGCGTAAGAGTGAATATTAGCATTGATAAAAGTGTTTGTGTTTTTAAAAATAGATATTAAAAGAAGACAAATATTATATGTAAAATCAGTGCACTGAGCGCAATTGTCAAAGCGGGAATGCTTTCCTTCGCAGTTAAAAAATAACTCGGTCAGTCGATTTTTCGAGAAGAAATTATATTTCAAATTATAAATATACTGTTTTATAAAAATTGCATATAAAAAAAAGCCAGTTAGAAGCTGAAATTATCGGGAACAAAAGTTTAGTATTTTTTTTATTGTAACAGTATAAATAAAATTTTATTGCTTCAAAACATTTTATTATGCAATATTACTATCAATAAACATATAATATTATATTTTTAGTGACCCGAGTACATTATTACAAAATTACTTGCTGTTTTAAATAAAAACAAAGAAAATGGAAAGTGTAAGTATATAAACTATAAATATGTTTGATATTGTACATGCTAAAACGAAAAGCATTTTTATAAAATTTACTGTTAGTCTTTCGCAATTGATCGCATATGTTAACCTACATGTGCATCTTCTTCTGAAAATTGACATTAATTATAAAAATATGTATACATATATATATTATATATAAAAACGGATGTGAAATATATTTCTAAACAAATAACATAAGCTATGCAAGCTTACACAGCCATATGCATATAGGCGAATATTTTCAGATATGTGTAAAACCTCCCTGGCTACGAGATGATGAGAAAATCTACAGTTTTTTTATTTATATTAGAGACGATCATATTATTTTTAGTTCAAACAACTTAAAAACACTTTATCTTTAGCAACAATGCTATGTGGGAGAAAAGCTAATTTAAATAGTGAAAACGTTAAATAAATATTTTTTTTTTAATTAGTTGAAACTATTATACGAGTATATGTACTATATTATGGGGTCGTACTTATATAAATATTATATATCTGAGAAAAAATATAAGGTTTTAGAACCGAATAGTGAAAAAATTACCGTATTCGTGCGTGAAACGTATTGAAAAGAGCTTTTATACTAGTAAATTTATTAAAACACACAAAATTTCTGAAATGAGAGGTCTGCATTGCTGCTGTTTCGAATGCGTTCATGTATAACATAGCTTCCAAAAATTATTTTTTGTTGCCCTGGATATCTTTGAAAATTTTAAAGTGTAGAGATTTTGAATTTGTTCATGAAAGTATTGAATGTGCTCTTGTTTTTATGATCATTGCTTGTCTTTTATTTTAATCAATTAACGGCTAGTTGTTAATAAAATTTATTTTTGTAATCACGATTAAAGTTCTGCGCACTTTTTTTGCGCATACAAACAACACGTGATCCTCACTCTCTGGTTCCATTTCCCTTTGCATTTCAAAAGTTATTGGGATGTCGTCAGAAACAATGATGTCGCCAAATTCCCCGAAATCGGTATAGTCTGCCAGTGAAAGTGAATGGGAGGCTGAAACATCTATGCTAAAGTTATTTTCGCAAAATGAACTCATCGCTTTAATAGGGATAAAGTTAGGAATGATAAAGTAATGTTTGAAACTGTGCTGACTCAAACTCTTGGAACAAATATAAGTATCAAGTCAGACTATCTCTGCTATCATGGATAAAGTTTCGGATAGTTTAGGAAATTATAGGGAGAAACAAAGAAACCGGTTTTTCCAGGATCTAAAAGTGATGGAATAAAGAGACCAATATTGATGGGATCTTCACATTATGGCATATTACCGCTGGTCCTTAAAGAAGATTGTCAACTGATAACATATGATATAACATATGATTTCGACATTTTATCTCTATTTTGTTCGATATACCCTTATTTTTCAAAACAAAACTGGTATTATGAATATATCTGTTATATTTTATGATTTTTGTAATGTGAAATAAAAATATAGGTTTTAACATAAACAAGAACATATCTTATAAAATAAATAATAGTTTAATAACTTGCAAACACATATACAAGTATATCCAAAATCGAACTTATATCTAGAGCTAGAAAACCTTTTTTTTTTGTCAATTATAGCACAATTTTGAGACATGCTGTTTTCTTTGATATAGTGCCTGTGACATTATTAAAACAATAATTGACAAAACTAAGAAAGATATGTAAAAAATTTAAATGAACTTTTTTATGATGGTGCGTTAAGTTTAAATAAGAAACTATTGTTATTTATTTGACACTTCAAGAGTGAGTCAATGCTGTTACAGGTTATTTACACTGAAAATAGTAAAATATATATTTTTTTTGTACGTGTAATATTTGCTGTAATAACCATTTATTTAAAAAAAAACCAGTTGTCGTGTAATTTTGCATTTCTTGCAGTTGCGCCAACTCTTCTTCGTTGTAAAGTTTGTATTTGCAGATGTCTGTGTCCAACGATTTCAAACATGTCAGAATAGCACAATTGCTGACCTGCCTGATTTCTGCTTCAAGCCTTTGTCGTAATAAAAACAGATCGACTCGAGAATAGCGTGAAGTAAATTGTTTTTAGGTATGTTGAAGTTTTTGTCTAATTTCATCTCACTTAGCACTCACTGGCTGTGAACATATATGCCGCCATTGCAAATGAAACTAATAATTGGCTGTTAATACAAAAAAAAAGAACAATAATTTAGCTCCAGGGCATAAGGGATTGTCGTAGAAATAAAACTGTCTGTCCGTCCGTCCGTCTGTCCGTCCGTGCAAGCTGTAACTTGAGTAAAACTTGAGATATCTTTATGAAACTTGGTAGACATGTTTCTTGGTACCGTGAGACGGTTGGTATTGCAGATGGGCGTAATCGGCCCACCGCCACGCCCACAAAACGCCATTAATCAAAAACAAATAAATTGCCATAACTAAGCTCCGCAATAAGATACAAGACTGTTATTTGGTACACAGGATCACATTAGGGAAGGGCATCTGCAATTAAAAAAGTGGGCGCCTCTAATAGGTTTAATGTGCATATCTCCTAAACCCCTAATGCTATTATAACAAAATTCACTGGAAGCAAATGTTTTTAGAACCTCTACCTACAGTGTGAAAATAGTTGAAATCGGGTGGCAACTCCGCCCACTCCCCCAGCCCACTTTTAGGTGAAAACCCACATCTTGGGATCTGCTTAACCTATTTCAACCAAATTCGGTGCATAACGTTCTTTTCATATTTCTATGTTATAGGGCGAAAATGGGCGAAATCGGACTACAACCACGCCTATTTCCATATAACACCATTTTAAATTCCATCTGATTCTTTCACTTTCCACTATGCATATCAAGCAACAATGATTATATCGGGGTAAAACTTTGCGTGAATAATACGTTTAAAGTATGCCACCTTGTGACCAAAAATTGTCTAAATTGAACCAAAACTGTTCAAGTCCTAAGTACTAAATATTTGGACCCCAGTGCCTATAGTTGACCTTCTACCGAAAATATCAGCCAATCCACAAAGAAATCTCAAACGAGTATGCCATTTGACTTTGCGAGAGTATAAAATGTTCGGTTACATCCGAACTTAGCCCTTCCTTACTTGTTTATATTTTGTTTTGTCTTAATATCGAAAAGGACAGCAATTTTCAAATGAAAAAATTAAATATTTTAAACAAAGAGTTTAGTTTGTTTTTCTAGCTTTTTTTTTATAAACATAAAAAACCAAAAAATGGTCATTTTAATTTTCGACATACATTTTGAGGTTATGACAACAAGGTGTTGGTACATAAGTTGTAGATCTTTTTATTACCTACAACTTTGCAATATAACCATTTCCATAGCACTCGTAGTTTTGCCGGAAATCGAGATTCCCTTTTAATATTCTAATTGGTTTCATTATACTAAGATTTTTTTTACCATTTTCAAGCCTACTGCATTGGCCTATATACACACATGCGGTATACCATAGGGTAGATGATTTATTGCCTATATGAGATATTGAGCGGTAAAAAGTCAACCATAGGTTAGATGATTTATTGTCTATATGAGATATTGAGCCATTCTTTGATTTTTAGCATCAAAACAAATTATTTTAAAATACAATTGGTTAAAATTGGTCAAGATGAGGATTTTTGTCTCAAAATGAACGGTGACGCGGCCTTAGTTGGTGTTTTAAACTGATTCTTTATGTTCCAGTCAAAAACATGCTGCAAATTTATTATAAGGGAATTATATGTGGTTATATTCAATATCTTGTGTTGATATCATACTTTTTATTTCAAAAATTTTCAAACCACGTGTGCAGTTTGTTCCGTTGATGCCATTTTACGTAAGATAGCGTATTGATAATTGCCCTTTCAGCTATCGAAATTTCGTGTTGTTTGGTGTCGAATAAAATTAATTGATTTGTATTGCGTACATCAAATATGGAATTTGGAAAATATGGGTTCGTATTAAAAACGCTGCGCTTGAGCCAACATGTTATAACTCAGACAATGTTCACTTTATGGTATTTTATGAAGTGTCCAAAAAGATTTTGTTCAAGCTATTCAACTAGTGTTTGGATATAATGAAAAATATAGAGCTAGTTTTTTAAAAAATGGCAAGTAAAAATTTGGAAAAACACCCACTGTCGAAGCTTTTAAGCGAGGATAAGGGGATGCCCAAATTATTCCAGTGTGAAATATCCAAGAAATTAGAGTTTTTTATAACGTTTCGAATTGTTAAGTCAAAACAATAATTTTCGGCATTTAAATTTTCATTTCCTTAAAATTAGAGTTTTTTTAATATTTTGAATTGTCAAGTCAATATATGAAATTTTTGGGCGTTTAAATTAAAGCATCGTATATTCATCAAGATTAAAAATGATTATACGGTATATATAACCATTTAACATATGGAGAAACTATTTAAATCCTCTTTTGTGATTTTGTGATATACCTACATACATATTAAAACAACTGATTTTTGTGCTCTCAATACTTATTAAAGTGAATTAAACGTATTAGCTCTCAATTAACAAGTGTTTTTTTATCATTTTCAACTGAAAATTAATAAAAACCACAACAAATTTCATCAAATACTTTTAAATTTTGCGTTTTATTTAATTTCTATTGTTTTAGAAAATTGTTAGTGATCTTGAGCAACCAATATCTCCGTTCACATATTTTTTTGGTAGGATTTTAATCTATCCATCCCTCTCTTTTCAATTGCGAAACGTCAAAACCTTCTGAAGTCAGTCAGCTCTTAAGTTCAGGAGGTGATTTACGCTCTCACTTCCAATGACATGGGAGTTGCACATCTCTTTATCTGTGGTTGTACATCTCTTTATCACGAAAGTAAATCAACCGAATGTGAAATTTGTATACATACATATATGTTGGTAATTTTTTTCCCTTCCTTCGTTAAACAAGTACTATATTTTCGTGCTTTCCTACTAATTTTATGTATGTATATTCCTATTGAGAGAAATGTAATGAATTCCATGTCACCAAAAAAAAAAATGCATACTCGTTCTTATTTCGACGCTGTATCGACCATGGATAACATGATACGAAACTCTTTAATTCGAGAGAGCGCAGTCTAAATGCTCATTTTTCACAACCTTTGATAGTGGTGCCACTATGGGAAAAAATAAGTTTTGAGTCTTTTATTCTATTTCTTGGGTATTTTTCGGTTCCCATTCCACGTAAAAGTATATATAATTAACGTTATTTTATGGAGCTAGATATTCTCTATAGAGAACAGCGTACAAAATACAGTTTGTGCACGAACTGAAGCCGCTCGACCTTCCGAATCGATCAATCAATGGATTTATTGAGAGAATACATCGTGAGGTGAGCAAGTAATTTCACGTTTTGGGCAGGTCGATTGGCCACCAAGATCGTGTGATATCACACCGTTAGACTTTTTCCTGTGGGGATATGTAAAGTCTTAAGTCTATACGGACAATCCCGCTTCGATTCCAGTTACCAGTCGAAATTCTAGCGCACCCTAATAAAACACACTACACCTAAGAACACTCAAGGAATTTTACCCCACACGACGACACCACCACACTCAACCTCAGAGAGCAACATGCACGAAGACACCTAAAAAACAGAACAGAATGATCGCTCCCACGGCATTCGCTTATACACCTTTCGACAAGATAGCGAGCCTGAGCGCTAACTCGATTTCTTAGCGGAAAAGCGCTCTTCGTCAACTCGATCCTTCATCTTCATCTTTTGGACCCCATCAGTCCAGCATAGCTACTTTTATTGTTTATTAAATTGGAATTACTGTTAAATACATAGCTATAATAATATGTTAAATAAATAAATTTGAACGGAGTTCAATTATATAACTACTAATAAGAGTGTTTCCTTTATAATCCTATTTGAAGGTAGTGAAAATAAATTTCTTGTGCTCCCCAATAAATTGGGTATCTTTTTAAACAATATGAATGAGATATTCTTAAAGAAATAATCCTAAGTATGTCTTGGTATGACATATTATTGGCATTCAAAGTATTATATCGACTACTTCCCTGGCTGGCTCTACTTTAATTACTGCATTGCTAATATTCCTTAAAAAATTACCTAACACTTCAACTTTATATTTAATTAATACTATGTTCACACCGACACGAAAACCGTGTTTTCATCGACAAAAGAGGTTTTCACGCGAAAACTTGTGTTTTCATCCATACAAAATTTGTCAAACGAAAACACAGTTTTCGCTGAAAACCCCTTGAAAACTTACATTCTACTCATTATAATCGGTGCCTGCTCTAGTTTAATCGATATTATTGGAAGACATATTTTGCCAGCCCTAAATGTCACTTGACAATTTGTTTACATTCCATAATTGTTCTGTGAATTTGCTTACATTCAAATGGCGAAAAAAGTGTATAAAAAAAGAAATTCGTGGAGTGAGAGGGGAGAAGCCCTTCTAATAGAGTTATGGGAAGAAAAAGTTTGTGCGCTTCGAGGGCCAAGGAAAAATAGCCACATTTTGGAGGAAATGGCAGTGGAGCTGCAGCAGCAAGGTGTCACCTTCACGGCGGCAGAAATAAAAATGAAAATGTACAATCTGTCGCAAAGATTTAGGTAAATAAAATTGAATAAAAATAAATATTAAACAATATTGAGTAAATATTAACGCGTTATATGTTATTATGTTTTATAGGAAGGAGAAAACAGCAGTCGGTTCAACTGGCGGTTCCCCTTCGCAGTGGCCTTTATTTCAAAAAATGAGCGAAATACTGTCGCCATATAAAAGCTACAACGCAGAGGGCTTAGTGGAGGAAAGCTTTCAAAGTAAGAGACATGTGTTTTTTATTGAATATATTATTTATATTTACATATATATATACATTTTTAAAAAGGTTCTACGAACTCAAAACCGATGGAAATTTCGGTGGAAACGGCTGCGTCTTCAACATTTGTTGCTGCATCTCCACTGCCATCACTTGTTTGCACTCCTTCGCCCTCAGCGATGATAATGTCACCAACCGCGTCGTCACCCGAGCCGATAGATTCTACAAAAAGGAAAAACAATAATTTTGAAACTTTCATAATAAAAAAATTGGAAAATATTGAAAAAACAAATGAAGACTTTAATATAACTAATGACAAATTTTTAAAAATGACAGAAACATTGGTCGAAAACGACAATAAAAGAACAAAATTAATTGAAGAATTTGTAAAGGATACAAAAGAAATAAATAAAGTACTTCTTGATTTGTTAAAAAAATAAAAAGTAAATGAATGTGTTTTATTTTTGGAATATGGTTACTGCCGCCTTAAATGAGTTCAGCCTGATAAATTATACATATAAAATGTCGGTGTGAACGACTTCGGTTCCACAATCCACAAATTGTGTTTTCAAGAGGTTTTCAATTTGGTGGGAACATAGTATTATACTAAAAGTCAATTGTTGTAGAAATATGAAGATTTTTAACTACAATTCTAAAAGAAAATGTTTAGTTATTATGCTAAGTGTGAAAAAAACTTGATCTCTCTTTGTTTTTATAATCGTTCTATAACTATCCACAAATTTAAATTGATTGCTTAGTCGACCATATCGTTGGCACTAACATATGTATATTTATGTAAAATCTTCTTCGAGAAGAGTTTTGATTATATAATTTTGCTTTCCCTTAATGTCGTTAACGTTAGTTAGTATTATTGATGGAGATTTTGGAGTAATATTTTGCTTAGTTTATTCCTATTTGTCTTTTCCCGTTTTCTTTGCAGCATGTGCATTTTCTTCGTTATACTTCTTTATCCCTTCCTTACAAGAATCTAGAGTTCCGCAAATCGATTTGAAATTTTGGCTGTTCCAGGTGTTGGGTCTAGCAGTTTTTTTTATGTTGTTGGTTTAAATGTTTGGAAAGTATCAGATTCTCGTTTTGTTTTACTTTGTTGTCTCAATTCATAATTGCTTCAATACCACCGCTGCTACATATGATGCTATTCTTAGCACAAATGCAGGGAAAACTTTAGTATAACGTCCCAGGCTTTCGGGGATAAAATGGGTATGGGCGGATAGAGGAGATCCTCCAGATCAAGAATATATGTAGATATAGCAGAGGGAAACTTAAATTTTTCGAGATATTTACGTTTAAAGTTGAAAATTTCAACTATTTAAAGTGCGCATTTTTTCGATTTCAAAGGAATTATACACTAATATTTTCCACTTTTATATCCACTAACACTTCACTAATTCGTTTGTACAGATTTATTTTATTTTATATAGTGCAAAAATAGTTTAATTCAATAATTAAATTATTGTTAAATGCTATTAATTGTAACAATAACAAAAGGGTTGCAAAATGTCAAATAACCAGTGTTACCTTATCGACATCTTTTGTAATTGAACTGAAAGAAATTGAAACAGATAATACCCCAAATACAGGAATCCAAAACCTAGAGAAAAAAACTATTACAGAGCATTGATGTTAAGTATTAAATTATACCCTCTATGACAATATTACTTTTTCTTGTAGAACTTCTGTTTACGCTTCAAAAAAAATAACCCTGGTCGGTCCAACACCGGGGTGTATCAAAATATTTTTCGCGCAGAACTTCTTTTTGCGTTGGTGGCCTTCGGCCGCGCTTCAAAAAAATAACCCTGGTCGGTCCAACACCGAGGTGTACCAAGGTTTTTACGCGCAGAAATTATTTTTGCGTTGTTTCCTGTATCTAGGGTATAATCTCTGTTTATTTTATTTTTCTTCGTTTACAAAATATATATGTTTGGCAACACTAGTGTTTTGACATTCACAACCATTATGTTATTGTCAAAATTAATAAAATTCAAGAATGATTTTAATATTGAAGTAAAGCTATTTTTGCAGCATCTAATATAAAAAAAAAATTCTAAAAACGAATTAGTCAAGTGTTAGTGGATAATATAAGTGTATAATTCAATTTAAACCGCAAAAATGCGTACTTTAAATAGTTGAAATTTTCAACTTTAAACGTAAATATCCCGAAAACTATAAGTTTCCCGCGGCTATATCTATATATAATCTTGATCTGGAGGATCTCCTCTATCTGCCCATACCCATTTTATCCCCGAAAGCCTGGGACGTTGTACTAAAGCCGACCCCAAATGCAACAGGTGCTGGGGAACTGATAACGAAAGTTGTTTGTTTACTGCTGATTGCAGCTGATTTTTATTGCGAAAGATATGATGATATTCATTTTAATCGTAATAAGTACATCTTTACACCTTCACAATCCGATGACAACCATAAATAAATTTCCCGAAACTCCTTTCTTTGCTTTTTGATAGAGCCCAAGATATCGGTGTTAAATTTGGCAGCACTACCACTTCATGGGCTACTGAACATATGACTTAAACGACTAATACCAGAGAATGTAAAATATAGAGAAGGTCCAACTACGGACCAGCGTGTGAATTGTCAAAACCTAACAAAATGCAATGAGGGTATTTCACCACATTCGGCTCGGAAGGAGAAATTTTAACAGTGGCGAGTGAACAGAGCTGAGCATTGTATGAAAATTATGCTCAGAAGTTTGCATTGATATTACAGCCGCATGTTAGCTTATATTTTTATACGTTTATATGCAATCATATTCATAGATATGAAACTCCTTTTCTGAATATCTATGATATCATGAAAAATTTATTACATTTCAATTAAAATATACTACTTCAAAGGAATATTTGCAGTTGCTTTTTAAATATTGCTTATGTTTGATAATATGAAATGCTTTCATATAAGTACATATGTATGTACATATATGTATCTGCTATGTTTTACTATATATAATACATACATACATAACTATATAACATACTAACATAATATCTTCAAAATCTTAATATATTTAAATAGTAATATATGCAAATCACACCTATCATGATTTAAAGCTTACATACATACATATGTATGTACTTATGTAAGTACAATTCAAATTCAAATCAAGTTGTTATCATTTATCAGTAATAACATTTGCGCGCACTGCTCTATATGTACATACATACATATTTGCTTATGACATTGCCACACAAATAATGGATACACAAACCTACATTCATATATTCGTAAACACCGTATGTCACCCGCAAAAACTACAAACATTGTTTTATAAAAACAACAATCGTCACAAGTCAATATGTCAGCCGAATAGGCGAAGCCCAAATTTATAGTAAATCAAACAACAACAACATTTTCATTCATGAACGCAGGCGTACTTTCAACAAGCAACCTCGCATCATTCATAAAAACAGACACCATTCATCTCCCCGAGCATGCGTTTGCCTACAAGCTTCTTTTCGCGACGATGGTACAAGCTTAAAATCATCAATTGAACAAATTTCTGATATTTCCTCTAGCAGGGAAAAGTTGCAACCCCGCAAGCCCACAAAACACAGAAAATATTGACAAAACTGGCAACAAAGCTTTTGTCGATTTAAAATATTTTTAATTTTAAAATATTTTTAATTTTAAAATATTTTTCAATTTTAAAACATTTTTCCATGACGAAAATCTCCGTCAATATGTATGCATGCTCATACATAAACATACATATTTACGATAGTTTCTAGGCAAAGCTGTTAGAGCGGCAAGGGAAGCGGTGACAATCGGCGGCCGTTCGTTATTTTTTTCGGCATAGCTCGGTTTTTCTACCAACAACACAATGTTGTGACGCTTTGTCGTCGCTTCAGTCCTTCGACACAGTGACTCTTTGACATTGTATAAATCTACTAGGCTATACAATGCTCTTTGACAAGAAAACAAAAAACGTGAGCTTCGGCCATTGGTTGTCCGTGGCAGCGGAGATTTCGCATGAAACAATGAGTGTACATACTTACACACATATGTTGCATGTAGACAAACTAATAATTATAATGGGCGCTTTCATATTTGTTTACATGCACACATTATACATATATTATGTATAAGAATTTTTGTGACCGCTTGGTCTTTTCTTATGTCTCATGTCAAGTAAGAGGTGTACAAAATCAAACCCAGAAATCTGACTGAACTGAAGTAATCCATTAAATAAATAATTGAGGCAACCCCGAATTAGGTGTCGCATATGCGTGGTTGAGTATGGAAGAATAATTAATTGTTTAAATAATATAAAATTTTCTATACAATAACAAAATTGAATGTAATGCATTGACTAAAAAGAAACTTATTACGGTTTAATTTTGTAGCACGATTCGTTAGCCACCCTGTATAGGAAAAATATCTTCAAATTATATCCAAAGTCGTGTGCGCAAGGTAAATATACGAATCTGTAAGCGTACATTTCTTAACATTGAAATTAGCATTATTTTTCTCAATTAACATTGAAAATGCTCAATTCTGCTATTTTTCAGTCCGCTGATGTTAATTGTGGACATTTGGTGAAGGACCCTCATCGTTTTCAGTACCCCTTCTAAAAGTGGTGAAATACCCTCATCGTTTTCAGTACCCCTGCGAAACGTGAAATATTTTGCTAATGGCCGCACTGTGAACCTTCCCTATAATCTACATTCTCTGCTAATACTATGTTCGCACGGATTGAAACCTTCTTGAAAACACAATTTGTGGATTGTGGAACCAAAGTCGTTCTGACCGACATTGTGTGTTGTCGATGAGTTTTCATTGACAGTTCACACATCAATTTGTTTACATTTGTTATGTACCCTACAAGAACAATGACGGTCATCTGATGGGTAATATGACAGTCATAGCTGAAAAAATTTTCTATCATTTTCTTAAGAGCCTTGTGCAAAAACTGATATAAACAAACGTATGTGTGTGGGTTTGCATCTCTCTTTAACACATGGGTATTCGGAATTGATTCACTATATATCTATACTGCTCACTCTCATGTCTTTTTCTGAGTCATTGCTGACCATAAATCCGTCATAGCTGAAAATTGTCAGTTATGACTGAAACGCTATCAGAAGTGAAAAATTCTTTTGCTCAGTAGATAATATAATTTTTATTTCTTTAATAAATTTCAAACTTTTAATCAGAATTAGTTATAATAATATACTTAAATATGAAAAGGAATGCAACAAAAAATATAATAAAATATGAAAATATAAAATTAAATTTTCACTTGATGCCATCTCCTCCTCTCAATAGCTCTGCGTATGTCTTTTTGCAATCAGTGGATGGTTCTGAATTTAAAAATGCAAATGTAAACAGTACTGACATATCAAATGTAAGTGTATTGGTGAACCCATCAGCAGTTTCTTATAGGGTACGTTTAGGCCAATTATGGAATGTAAAAAAATTGTCAACTGACATTTAGAGCTGGCAAAATATGTCTTCTAATAATATCGAATAAACTAGAGCAGACACCGATTATAATGAGTGGAATGTAAGTTTTCAAGGGGTTTTCAGCGATAACTGTGTTGTTGTTTGACAGATTTTGTATGAAAACACAAGCTTTCGCGTGAAAACCTCTTCTGTCTATGAAAACACAAATTTTGTGTCGGTGCGAACATAGTATAAGAATCCCACGGAAATAAATTGCGAAAACATTGGGTTATTTGTAAGATCAGGTTTTTAGTGAACTTTATTTGTGTTTCTGACTTATATTTAAAGATATTTAAAATATATAAGTTTTTGTTTTTTAAAAAAAGCGAATATTTGTTACAGAGTATTGTTTTTCGTATTAGTGTCAAATGTGAACGTATATACGTATGATATTTTTAAATTCTACTGTTTAATACAAATGGTAGCGACGGTGATGTTGTATACCCGCGAACTTATTACTCTTAAATCCTTTTGTTCGATGCAAATGCTAGCGACGGTATTGTAATTTACCAACTAACTGTTACTTTAAATAATAGTAATTGCGGTTTGTTCTAAAACTGTTTAATGAAATACTAATGCACTTATTTATAACTTGCTATTGGGATCAACTATTGCTAAGTTAACGCTGCTATCCTAATTTTTGCTGACTTCAATGCTTGTGCGATATATTGAATTACACTTGGCAGTCACACGGTTGATGGCTTGTGTAATGTATCCAATTGCAGTTGATGGTCACAGAGTTCATTTGATCCATGCGCAGCTAAAATTTAGACTGCATAGATTTTGTTAACTACTCTATTTTCAAAACATGGGCGTCCTCGGCCATACCCAACCTTTCCAATACCTGCCGCACAGCTTCCAAAGTT